CCAGCAGTAATAGATTGTGATCGCTTCTCCAAATGGGAGCGCATGCATCGAGAAATGGCCTACGTGCATCGATACGTGGGAAATTTGAAACGGATGATCTACGGTGAAGCGAAGCATACAGGCTACCTCACTCAAGAGGAACTACGACAGGCAGAAGCGACCTTGATTCGGATGGTACAAGGGCAGACTTACCGTGAAGAACTGACAATCCTCTCAAACAACCAGAATCATCCGAGACCACACCCAGAAGGGTTGAGCAAGCACAGTGTGCTGTATCAGTTGACGCCGTTCATCGACGACACCGGGATTCTATGGGTGGATGGGCGAATCGGAGCAGCAGAAAATGTAAGCAACGAAGTGAAATTTCCAGCGATCCTGCCCAACAATCACCGGGTGTCGGATCTGATCGTAGACGCCTATCATAGGAAGTATCGACACGCCAATTCGGAGACCGTAGTGAATGAGATACGGCAGCGGTATCATGTGTCCCGCCTTCGAACAGTTGTCCGGAGAATCGCCAACGTGTGCACAATGTGCAAAATCCGTAAAGCAGTACCTCACATTCCACGAATGGCCTCACTTCCTCCGGCCCGCTTAGCTTCATACGCAAGACCATTCACCTACGTTGGCCTGGACTTGTTTGGACCATTGTTAGTGAAGGTCGGTCACAGCAACGCAAAAAGGTGGATAGCGCTCTTCACCTGCCTCACTGTTCGAGCAGTGCACTGCGAAGTAGTGTACAGTCTGTCAACGGATGCTTGCCTCAAGAGCATCCATCGCTTCGTGGGTCGCCGTGGTACTCCAGCCGAAATCTACACAGACAACGGAACAAACTTCCACGGCGCTGAGCGGGTGCTGATGAGACAGCTTCAACAAGGTCTTGTCGCGACTGTGACTAATACGACAACTAAATGGTACTTCATTCCTCCATCTTCACCCCACATGGGCGGAGCGTGGGAACGCATGGTGCGTTCGGTCAAGCAAGCGAGGATGGGCGCAAACAGTAGTGATCGGAAGCTCGACGACGAATCGCGGAATACGTTTGTTATCGAAGCGGAGTCGATCGTCAACAGCCGTCCACTCACTTACCTGCCCTTGGACGCGGAAGAAAGTGAAGCACTGACTCCGAACCATTTCCTGCTAGGCAACTCGACCGGGGTGCGACAACCAGTAGCGGAGCCGACCGATAGCTCGGTAGCAGTGAAGAATTCCTGGAACCTGATCAACCATCAACTCGACTGTTTTTGGAGGCGCTGGACTCGAGAGATGCTGCAGACCCTGACCAGGAGAACAAAGTGGTTCGGCGATGAGAGGGCTGTCGCTACCGGCGACCTAGTGCTGATCGTGGAGGACAGCAAGAGGAACAGCTGGATCAGGGGACGAGTGATGGAGGTTGTGCCTGGGGGTGACGGAAGGATCCGTCAGGCTATCATAAGAACTGCGAAGGGGCTGCTGCGTAGGCCTGTCGCAAAGCTAGCTATTCTGGACATAGTAGATAGTGGTAAAACTGGAACCGGTGGCCAGTGTAACGGGGGGGGGGGGGGGGGGAGGATGTTGGCGCTGGGATCACTGCCTCAAGTCGCGATGCGTAGTGTCACCCGAACCGAACCACGGACTTCAACTGTCCGCTGTCATAGAATGACAGGAGCGAACGAAGAGAGAGAGAGAAGGAACATCGGAGATGAAAAGAAGACGTTGGATGTCAGTTTGGCGAGATAATCATAACATCAAGTTCATATTCTAAAGGAAAAGTGTAAAACCTAAATTTTCTATTCTACAATTGAATTTATAGTTATTTGCCTAGTCTAGTAAATTGTTATTAAAGTGAGTAATTGAGTGAATTTAAATTAACCTACCTAGAATTGAAAAAGAGGGCTAGAACATAACCCTAGCCAGCAGAAACTTTATATCTGGTGAAAGCACCGAAAGTGTAAGTAACACTCATTTTAAAATTGAATTTATGCTAATCAAATATACTAGCAGTTTAAAGCTGCACCTATCCACAATTTGTGCTGCTCAGAACCCGGTGTTTTGTTTGTTTCTGATCGCCACCATAACACCATTAGTAACGTCCCAATAACGCGTTCATCTAGATAAAATTGATAAATATGGGCCCAATCTTAGATCCATAGGCCAACATAAGAGACATTTCCCCTATCATTGAATTTGGTATGTGCAGGTAAAGATCTATCCAGCAGGACACGTTTCACAAAAGTTGATAAAATTATGTTTTCGTAATGTACCAACAGTGTACCATAACGTCCCAAGTAACAATTCTGCAATAATTTGGCATCCACTCTGATTTATGATGGTTTTATAATGGCAATGAATAATCCATTTAGTTTAAATACAGCATTTCACATTGTAAAACGTTCCTGCTTAGTAGTTCACCTTTTCGTTGTTTTAAAAACCTTTTACAGTCTGGCGAGAAGTCAAAACCTGTCTAGTTTTAAAATTAAATTTAAAATAGTTCTCAATCCCACCATAAAACTGTTCTATAAATCAATCATAAACATCATTAGCAATGTTTTATTAATGTCTTGATAAAGTACTCTATAAACCTGTTCTATCATTATAAAAGCAATCATAAAACCATTAGGTTTTAAATGAGAGCAAAAGGCATGTATTGTTGACTTTTAGGATTTTAAAAAGTGTATCATAAAATCTCCTCTGATTATAAATTGAACTTTAAGGATGGATCCTCATAGTAAATAAAAATCAAATTTATTACAAGGATATCTCGAAGGATAAACGAAGTTGGAGGAAAAATTCAAGCGATGCTAACGACCGCAGGAAAGTCGATTTCAGTAAAATTTAGTTCTTTAGAAGAACCAGCACGTCCGGCAAAAACGGGTACCATCAACGACTGAAAATCTGGTGGAGAAGAGTGAAGTGAGCGTGGTCCTCAAGTTCATAAAACATTGACAAAACAGTCTGAAAACAGACCAGCTTTCTCCAGACCTTGCGAATAGATGAAAATCGGAATAACTTGTGTCAGTACCGACAGCAAACCACTGAAACTGTCAGTAAGTTGGTTTCCGATCTATAGCTGCGATTTTATTCGGCGAAAGGGTCATCACTTCGAAAAAAAATTCATTCAACCGTACATTCCTGCATCGTTTGATGGTGCACTTCCAGAACCACCCGGAAGAAGGGGATCTTTTCGGGAATGATCGAGGTTACAGCTGTGCGAAATGCGAAACGTTGTGAACACTTCTGAGTAACTGCTTCCAAGCCATCGGGAGAGAATCGCCTGGAAGAACGCTGAATCGCACAGCGCAACTACCGAAAGATAAACAAACTTTGACGTTTAACATTTTGTAGGCAACATTGCCGCCATAACTGCTGCCATAAATTTGAACGGGTTAGGATCAAGCAAAATGGCTTTAGATAAATACAATTCAGTCTACAAGTTTTCTTCATAAAAGCCATTTCAATACCTTATGAATTTGTTAAGGATTTCTTGAAAGCAAAATAACTTTTATGCCTCCGCCATATTACAATTATTTTGTTTGTTTTTTTTTACAATCTTCGATTTTCAATCTATATTTCCTTGGATATAGTTTTATTTTAGTTAATTTAGCAATGAGAAAATATTTAGAATGCAAAAATCACGAGAAACAGAAATCTCGACTAAGCTTAACGATCGATCTGAAGAATATATTTTTTTTCTTAATGTAAAATAATTAGTAAAATCGATGTTTTCCGTGGGCGGACTAAAGTTTTTCGATCGTTTCACGTACATTTTACATCAAGTTTTATTTGGCACATAAAACTAGGCCACTTCATGCGAACTATTTAAAAATTTTGGAAATTCGGCAGGTTTTTGATACGATCAGTTTTTATTTTAATTATTTTGATAAGATTGGATGGTTTTTATGATTCCTTTTTTATCTTGATTGTTGTTTTTCTACTGAACTTAGCAAGCAGCTAGGGTAAATGGCTTGGATAGTGGTTTTAATTGTTGCCAAAAAGCTTTTATTGTGGCTTGAATACGGTTTTAAACTGGATCTCAATACGTTTATCGTACAACCATTTTGCAGTAGATCAATCTTGAAGAGCTTCGATAATATACCCTTCAGAATCTTCTCCAGGGTGGGCCAACTAGACAGATTCTAGCATCAATGAGGTTTTGGTGGATGCATCAATGGCAAATCAGTCTTGACCAGGGTTTTATGAATGTTGTTTTATAGTAGCTTTGTAGTATTTCATAAAACTTAAAATGTTACTTGGGGTACCTTCAAGGATTTTGAACGCACCTCTCAATTTCTTTGTTTTAGGGTGTCCTGTTGAATAGGCGGGTGATTTTTCAAAATCTCTTCTGAAAGTTTAAATTTTTAAAAATCTCGAAAATCCAGGGTTGTAGCCCAGAAGGATCTAGGCACTTTAGAGCAAAATCAAAAAAGGCGTTTGTTCAGAATTCCAAAATAAGCATTTTGGCCAAGTTTGGCTCAAACCGGTGACATCGACCACAGGTGGTGTACCTAATGGAATTTTTTTGGTGTACCCATATTAAGGAATTTTTTTCCAGGAAAAACCTGGGAAATCTGGAAAAACATGAGGCAAATTTACTCATTGCCGAGCTCCTGACCTTTTTGAAACGAACAGAATCTTGAAACGCCTTTTTTTATGTATATCCTATTTAGAATCTCAAAATTATTTTGAAGCCTCATAATTTTTATGATTTCTTCCAACTGCGGTATATAGTGTTTTTTAATGTTTTTTTGTGGAAGGGATTTTGAAAAAAAAAAATCATTGTCCGAATCATTTTGATAAGTCTTTACAGGATTTCTTTGAAATTTTCTCAAGAATGTCTTAGTCCTAAAATCTCTTCAAAATGTTCTGGAGACTGTTTTCGGAAGTCTTTTGGAATACTTACTAATCTTGTGGAAACGTTATCAGAATTTCCATTGAATAGAATAGTGGTAGGAGTGGTAGTGTATGGCAGGTGTCTATAAACTAAAAATGCGCATAAACCAACGATTTCTTCATCCTTGCAGCCCCAACCGATCAAGGCATCCCCGACGCTGACAGTGAAAAAATGCTGCCCACTGGGAGAAGCATTCCTGCACGAAAGCATCAGCAAATGCAGGAATCCTCTGCGAAAAACCCGTCTACCAATCGTCAGCCGGGAAGTTCACCTGTACGATCAATCGTGCTACACATTTGCCTCCTATCTGAGGCACAACCTGACCATCGACGGCCACTGCATTGGCAAGCAGTAAGTTTCAAAATCAGTCTATTGGGGATCATCAATTTCGAAATATCACGATTTTATTTCATTTGGTATGAACCAGTCTAGCGTTCAACGACGGGGCCCTGTTCACGGTGATCCAGAACGGTTCGCTGATGGTGTCCAGCCCGGACCAGATGGTGATCTACAACGATTACTGTCTGGAGGAAACCGGAAGTTCGGTGCTGGTGGCACATGTTTGCGACACGATCGTCTTTCCGGATCCGTTCGACTGGGTGGATAAGTTGATCATCGGAACGGCTCTGGTGACTCTGTTCCTGACGGCACTGCTCTATGCCTTCGAGGCAACGTTTCAAACCATATTTGGGCGGTTGATTACGATTCATGCGGCGCTGCTGTTCACCGCTTTGCTGCTGGAGTCGGCGTTGACGGAGTTCAACGAGGCATTCTACTCCACCATTGTCTACGTCCTGATCGGTGCGTCGTACGTCCTCTTCGCGGCAGCCAACCTGTACTCTTTGTTCTCCAGTCTGAGCAATTATCAGAAGATGGATAATCGCAATGTGGTGTATGTCGCCTTCGGATGCTGCTTGTTTTGGTTGTTTTCGGTTATGTTTACCATGTACTACAATGGTAAGTTGCGTGTTTTTCTGATTCATTATTTGATCTATAAATATAGTTCTGTGTTGTAGACAAAGTTGTCGCCCTTTGTACGGTATTTAGCGGGCTGGTGCTGAGTGTTCTTGTAAATCTGATTATACTCCGGGGGATCTTAAGACGCCGCCATCAGCTACTGACGGGGATGGATAGTTGCTATGAGATTTCGGACAGCAACGAATATTCGACGTACGTTCATCATCGGAAGGAACTGTGAGTATGATTAATACGCTTGACGTCAGAACAGAGGTTTCTGGTATCTACGAACCCAAAGTTGATTCAAAAACTATGGGCCTAGATTTATAATAACAAACTTGTAAATCGGAGAAGGGAACTTTGGAATAACAATGATCTTCACAATGAGTTCAAAGGGCACTAAGCTTTACCAAGTCTAGAAGTAATTTACAAGTTTGATTAAGAAAGCAAACCATTGATAATAAGACAGTTATTGCAAAGGAGCCGTCCATAAGCCAAGTAAAAATCATAAGGGGATGGGGAAGGGGATGGTTTTTTTGATTTTCTACGGTCTACGCAGTGGACAAAAACCAACTATCTAGTTTATGGAGAGTCCCAAAGCCTTCGTTTGGCCTTTAGAGACAAATGTAGAGAACCTCCAGTGCAAGAACATATGTTTCCACGAGCTAAATCAAATGATCCAATCCAAACGTTGCGTCCGCTATTAGAATCCTGGACACTTTTGAAACAAAACAGTGTAGCTATTCGATAACCGCCATAACGCAGCTTTAACGTCTGCAATGGTGAATTTGCATTGAAGAAGTTAACGCAGACGTTATTGACGGATATCGATTATCATCCCTGGAACTAATCCAAAGTACTCTTGGACTTAGTGGACCCTTATCTGTAAGTGTAGAGTGCAGAGCAATTTACTTCCACTATAAATCCAGATGATCTCAATGAATGTTTAGAAGACCTCCGTTTCAGGGCAAGTCCAGTAAACATCTTTTGCAACTTCTAGGGCTCGGTTTAATGGGTAAGACAAAGGAACTAATGGATAACTAAAAAAATATACGGACACTTCCTTGGGATTAACTGCTGGATCCTGACCTCAAAATCCACAAGATCTAGTAAATCTCAATAGTCAGGGTTGTAATGGGTAAGACAGAATAATTGAGCTCTGGTTATACTAGAACGACGTTCTAAAAATTCCATAATACTGAAGGACTCACTTGGTAAACTCAAACGAAATACTCTTAGATGAGTCCTGATGATTATCAATACACAGAAGCACAACCTTCATGAAATTATTTGGGGGGTGCAAGATGTTTTTGAGAATAGTCCATTTTGCAAACTGGTAGGAGCTAGTTAACATGACAGAACTGATGAAATTTAGACTGCATGGTTATTCATTCAGGATTAATCAAATTAGGGGATAAAGCTGACGAAGAAGCTTCACACATGATTTAGATTTTGATAATATACTAGGTGGGGTGAAAAGTAAACTACTTGGGAATAAAAAAACATCTTTTTTTTTTTAATTTTATTCAATACAGCCCCTTTTAGCTCAGTACACTTATTCCAGCAATTTTCTAATTTCATGATCCCGTCCGAAAAGTAATTTTCAGGAAGGTCTGCAAAATGCTCCTCCGCAGCGTCGATGATTTCCTCACATGAGCAGAATTTTTTATTGA